GAAAAAGGGGGGAATATCTGTAATACTTTCAACAATAAAGATAAATTTAAAAACAAAAAATAGGCTTTCTCACCTTGCTCTTAAGTTATTGCTCTGTTCACCCTGCTGCTTGGGAAGAAGAGGAAGAAAGGCCAAGAGTAGGTTTACAATGATTTGTGGAACCATATGCCAGCCCCTCTCTCAGGATTAGCCCAGTAAAAAAGGCCAACAGCGTTTCTTGATAGAGCAGATACCCTGACTTTGACCCTTACCATCAACTGTCAAAATTATTTTGTTTGCTATAACCACGTGGGACTCCTGTTATATTTTTATTGTGGACAGAAACCTAAAAAGGTTCCCCTTGAGTGGCCTCTAATTTCCTGTATTCATTTTAATGGAGTTGATTTGGAATTAATTGTGTAAAGAGTATACATCATATCTCCTGTGGCTACTTCTTTTATTTGAGAGTACAAGAATTTTGTGTGACACCAGATTTTGTGTGACACCACTGTAGAATACATGTATAGTGTTCATATGCTTCTATTCTGGATTTTTAAAGAGTTTCATAGGTTATAGTCTGCCAGACCAAACTAAATTCCAAGCTCTCTGTTTATAATATTGTACAATTATCAAAGCCTGGGATATATTATCACTGCCAGTTACTCTTGCTGTCAGTTTGTTTTGGCTCAGCTTTGGTTCTATTTGTACTTTACTGTAATGTAGCGAATATATTGGATTGGATTGTTAGTTTAACAAGCTCTCTAGAGAACAGTTTCATGATGATGCATGTTTAGATATGTGTGCTAAGTAGCCTTAAAGTTATTTACACACTTGCCAAACCTGCAGAAATTCATTCATTAGGAGTTTTAGAGAGGATAAACTCTAAACCTACAGATGAGGTAAAGTTTGCATTTGTAAACATGGGAGTCTTAATTCATGAATCCCAGCCAAATTTCTTTAGGGATTTTGATTTGACTGATTTCTCCCTTCTCATAATTTTACTGGATGAATTATTTTATGTTCTTTTTAAAAAGTATTCTGGTGGTTAAGCCATTATTGACTCTTGTTCTCTGTGCAGCTCACTATGTTGTGGGAACTCAGTGATCTTGGTCAGATACTGAGCTGAGAATTAAAGAAATTGTTATCAGAGACTGAAACTAAATGAGTTGTTAATATTTATATTGTGCTCAGATGGTTTAAAAATGCACATTTGTCTCTTTCTTTGCCCACTCCAACCTATTGCATCAAAATTTTCAGTCAGAGTCTGGGAATCTATTTTAAAAATGTTCCCTTGAACTTCCTGGATTCCGACAATGTTCCAATATTTTTATGTGATAGTCATTACACAAGTGTTTAAACTCTTCAGGATGTACATTTAAGACTTGTATACTTCATTTTAGCATTTTATCCCTTATTGTTATACCTCAGTTTTTAAAAGGTTTTAATAGCCCTGAATGTGGCTCAGTTGGTTGAGTGTCGTCCTGTGTACCGAAAGGTTGCCTGTTCGATTACCAGTTAGGGCCCAGGTTGCAGGCCCGATTCCCTGTAAGGGGTGTGCAGGAGGCAGCCAATCAGTGTTCCACGCTTACGTTGATGTTTCTCTCTCCCCGCCTTCCCCACTCTCTAAAAATCAATAAAAATATTTTTTAAAAAGATTTTAATAAATGCNCTCTCCCCGCCTTCCCCACTCTCTAAAAATCAATAAAAATATTTTTAAAAAAGATTTTAATAAATGCACATTAGTCTCCTGATTGAGTCAAGCAGCTTGCATTATTTTTTTTTTTTCATACCCAAGGATATATTTATTGGTTTTAGAGAGAGAGGAGGAGGAGGGAGAGGGGGAGAGAGAGAGAAAGAGAGCGAGAGTGAGAAAAACATTGGTTGGTTGTTTCCTGTACGAGCCCTGACCGGAGGTCAAACCTGCACCTAGGTATGCACCCTGACCAGAAATCAAACCCACAATTCTTTCTTGTACAGGATCACGCTCCAGTCACCGAGCCACCTGGTCAGGGCTGCAGTGACTTTAATGAATGCCTTTAAGTGCCCTCTGTCCACAGAGTCGTAACCCAAGAGTAGATAACAAAGTGGGTCTTGGCCCTAGGGAGTGTAAAATCTGGTGAAAGAGGAAGTAGTGATACAAAATATAAAACTGTATAGTGTAAGAAATCTTTTTATACAGATGATTCTCATCAACACTGTGGTTTATAAGCCATTTTGCTAACCCTATTTTTTGTTAGAGAAACTGAAGAGTTCAGGACTTAAACTGAGTCTTATATAAAAGCCTGTATTTTCCTAGAAATAAGAATGCAAACAAACAAAAACCAAACCTCTAGGGAAGCAGGAGCTACAATGTGTTTATGAAGCTATAGAAGACAGTGCCCAGAAGAGAGTTCTCAAGGATGTGGCGTCTGTAGCTCATTGTCTCCCCACGTTGCTTATTTTCTTTCTTTTTTTTAATCCTCACCCGAGGATGTGTTTATTGATTTAAGAGAGAGAGGAAAGTGGTGGGGGGAGACAGAGACAAAGATTGAGATAAAGACATCGATGTGAGAGAGGAATATTGATGGGTTGCTTCCCATACACGCCTGACTGGGGATCGAACCCAACCCACAACCCAGGTATGTGTCCTGAATGGGAATCGACCCCACAACCAATTGGTGTCTGGGATGATGCTCCAGCCAACTCAGCCACCCGGCCAGCGCTCCATGTTGCCTATTTTCATGTCACAGTTGCCCGATTTGGCCCTCTGGAATTTTAGTATGTTAAGCTTTCTCTGGGGAATGTGATCTTTATGGAAAAATGCCCTGCTCTTTTGGTCTTTCTAACTTCTAATTTATTCTTGCCTCATTTTCAAATTCTTGAGACCTATTTCCGTGTGGTGCTGGCCAATGATGAATATCCTTCGTCCTGGTTGCATTTGACGTTCATTACTTGTTCCCTAGTCTTTGACACGTGATTGTTTTTGATCCAGCTCTTTATTGCAGTCAAGTATTGTTCTTCATTCACACAGTTTTGCCCTCCTAACAAGATTATAAACTCCTTGAGCACAAGACTAACCCATGGTGGCAAATAGTAAGTTATTTGCTAAGTGCCCTTTGACATTAACAATACACTTAATTAGGTTTTCCTCTCTTTTCCCATTTCCCCTCTGTGTCTTCTTAACACTCACTAAGGTTTGCCAAACTGCTGTTACAGCCTTGGTGTAGGAAAGAGTGGACTAACAGTGAACTCTTAGGTGTGACTTCCAGGTCCCTAAACCCATGGATTTCGGTGGCATAAACTCTTTAGAATAGGTCTCAGAGTTCTTTCATCTTTCTTTCCTTATTGATGAGTAACTTCAGTGATACGAAGTCTTGTCCAACGTGGCATGTAACTCTGCCAGTTAATCAGGTTTACCTTTGCTAGTCATGGTCACCTATGGACCCTTTTCAGAGTATATGTGTAACATTTGCCTATGTGTTCTGTTCCTTTATGATCATCACCCCTGCCTCTCCCAGGGCATATAAAAAAACCACTAGTCTTTATGTTTATATAGTAACTTCCTATTTCAGAAGTTAGGGCGTGGTCGATGGGGAGTTGGGTATATATCAATATCAACTTAAGAATTTGTTGGCAGTCCTGATTCTAAACCAACTTAAGAATTTGTTGGTGATCTTGAAATTATTGCTTTTCAAGCCTTCACCTACTGACTAACTAGCTTTTGCATAATCTTGAATTACGCCTATTCATCAGATGTCTGGGCCCTTAAAGATTCCACGAAGGCCCTCTTCATGCCATATTCTTGTAATTAAACTGGACATTTCTTTCTTGGTCCCAATACTCTCTTTATATATTAAAATGATCTTTATTTTTTCTGAAAAGCAATTTGTTGTTCCTTAGGC